GTTGTTTTTTTTGGTAGTAAAAAAAAAAAAAAAAAAAAAAAAACCCCCCCCCCCCCCCCCCCCCAAGACCACTGGTTGTGGTAAAATTGAAAAAGAAAAACAAATAAAACAAAAAAACAAAAAAAAAAAAAACAATCCAAAACAAACAAATAAAAAAAACTGTAACCCCCCCACCCCCAGAAAAGTCAAGAAGTCTAGCTGCTGAATGTTTTACTTGGATGCTAATTCCAGGATTTACTAAACAAAATGTGACTTTCCTTCAATTCGCCATATTACCTAAGCTAGAAAAAACAATTCAGATTAATAGCAGTTCGAGTGAGAACACACTTTCACCTCAATGAATCAAAAAGTATTGAAGTAAAACAATTACTTGCACAGAAGACCAAATGTAATAAGTTTGCCATTTTGATGTTTGGTAGCTTCTCTGAAAGCTTCTGCCAAATTTTAGCCTCATCAGATGACGGCTAAAGAGCTTCAAGGCAAAATCAATATCAGTGACACCAAGTTTCTGAGTTAAACAAATACAGATGGAACTAAAAATACAATACTTCTATAAATAAATGGGACCAATTACAATGCTGTCTAAAATTAAAAGCCTTAAAAACTAGCATAGCATCAAACAAGCACCTAAAATCCTCACAAAGTTGGTATCTACAGCATGACCCTCCTGTTGTATCGGTTGATAATTACATGATTTTTGAAAAAAAATAAAAATAAAATAAAATAAAATAAAATACACTTTCATCAGTACAAGATATAGCTTATCATTGTTGAGTTGGTTTCACAGCATGTTTAGTTTCCAGTGTCAGCACAAAAAGAAGTGCGGTTTCCTAAAAATGACTAAACAGTAGCCAGTACCCATTTTGTGTCACATTAATCATAAGTGCAAACTTTTCTGCTGCGAATGAAATGTTCACTCGTTCTGTCACCAATTTTGTGGTGTCAACTAGTGATTATGAGAATACAGTGTACATTTTGGAATATTTCCACAACACTGACAGGTTGCTCAAACATAGACTATTAACAGTTAACAGTAGCTTCAGTACACAAAAGTTGTATTATTCATTAAAAGCTATGACATCGTCATTGGTTTTCACGTACACTTATGCAACATTTTTCAGATTTGTAAGAAATATACAGTTTGGAAACTTTCCATTGGAAAGTTATGCTTGGATGAAATGCAGCTGGGTTTTATACGTTTTAAATTATAATAAGTCTTTTGTTTAGATTTTGCAAGAAAAGTTTCACATTTACCTCACAAAAATTACTTCACGATCCTCCAAGCATTTTTGGCGTATGTTGATATTTTTTCGATTTATAAAAAAAAACACAAAACAAATGAGGATTTAGAGCATATGAGCTTGAAGTTTTCAAAAAACTTGGGAATTCAGTACAATTTACAAAAGAGGAGCACGGAATGCCTTTATGTTGTCTTTCCACTGCAGCAAACTTCAAAAACAGTAGTCTACTACTAGATTAGTCTGCTTGCTGACCAATTCCACTGTCTGCTCTTCAAACTCATAATAAAAAGCCAATTATTGAGTCAAGTTCATGGCTATTTTTAATCTCTCATATCCACAAACGTGTGCAATAACTAAATTAGGAAAATCCTTCAAAATTTCAGAATTTCAGCACATTTTGCAGTCATTAGGTGTGAATGTTAGCATTGGAATGCTAATATTGGCATTTTGACGAGTAATAAGCGTGCTCTGTCCACTCAGGGCGCAGTGCACTAACGTCAATTTAGTGAAGAGTTTAGTGTTAAACTGTACATAATAAGCCTGTTGCATGTTACTAATTTCCACTGCAATACAAAGTGGATGAAATTCCAGTTTGAGCATTTAAAACTTATTGCTAAATGTTGAACTCTCACTCTGAAGTGGATAGTAATTTGAACGAGTGAACAATTCAGACACACCTTTAGTAAGAAAAGATAGCTGACTGACCTCTGTCATTTGACCGACCGATCGGATTAAAATATCAGTTCAATGAAGCAACTATGAGGTAATTACGTGGAAGTTACTGTCTTTGATGATAAGTTTAGAAAGGATCTTAAACAATTCTTCCTTCCACCCGGTGAGGCTTCACAAAATTTACAGTACGTGTAAATGACGACCAGTTCGAGTCTAGTGCTGGAACAAGTGAGATAAGAAAAGAGGAGAAACTGGGACACAAAGTATGGCTACGTTGCTGTACAGTTCTTTATATTATCACTTTTTCATGTTGAGATTAAAACAAAAATAAGAAACAAATTCACAGAAGACTCAAGTGATATAGAGCAATGGGTCTCTGGTTATAACAAGACCGCAGTTGCCTGATTTCTGTACACCTCTATATACATTATCATCATCCCGTTTGTGTCAAATTTAAAGTCACCCTCTTTAAAACTATTCCAAGTCTTTTTTTTTTCCTTTTTCAAGTTTTGCTATTATTTTAATAGGTAAAATGACTTCAGAGCCCAAGTGTCATCCTTTGGCTGTTAATTGGCACTCCACCTTTATTTCTCATGGGCCGTTGCTCGTCTCTGACTGAATGATGCAGCTGCTCCAGGTGTCAAGCCTTGGCCTCCAACATCTCGAGGAATAGTTTGTGCATGGGAACTTTGCCCTGCATTTTAATGCTGTAGAAGTGCTGAACAGCCTTTGTGGCGGTTTGACGGAGCAGAGGCAGGGTCATCAGCAGCTTGCCTGCCCGTCGGGGGTCCTCTGGGTGCTGGGATCCCTCGTAGTCCTGCAGAGCCTCATGGAGAGAGTCTTGGAGCCTTTGGACGGCTTCGACGCTCTCTATGTGCATGGAGTCTGGAGCAAGAGGAGGGGCGTGGAGAGAAAAGATGAAGAAAGAGGTACATGTGATGCGAGGAAGAGACTAAACTTCATTAGAACATTTATAGCAGCAGAATATTTGGGGGTTTAATTTCTTGAAATGTGCAACGTTAAAGTTTCACTACAGTTCTGTAACTAAAGAAATCGTAAATGTAATTTTATAATATTGTGCTTCTTGTGTTTTGTCATATTTTAAAGCTGTCCTGTACACTAAAACACCAACTTTAACCTTCCACACGTTTAGCTACTTGATCACACTTTTTAAAAATGCCAGTCATGACAAAATCTGATTTTTGTAATGACTTCAAATCTGGTCAAAATAACATCTTCTCTATAAATTGCATCATATAATCTTCCAGATATAGATGATTTTAAGACCTTACTATGCTGCTTAGATTAAAAGCTCTTTGGATGACTAAAAATATTTCAAAGTCTCCTTCAAATGGCTATTTGATTACCCTTTAACTAAAGAGACAGAAGTCAGCTTAGCCTGTTAATTTGGATTTGAAATTCCTTTGGTCTCAGATCCAAAGTGAGGAATAATCAAATCATAAAACAACCCAGGGCAACCTCCCCCCACCAAAAAACAAAACAAAACAGTAAATCTCTTTGCAGCCTTGAGAGAGAGAGTTAGGTGCCAGTAGGAAGCAGAAACACTTGTTGTTTTGGGGGAAGTAAACAGCCTCTTTCTACCCAAAGTTATTCACTTTTACTATAGTGCTAACTCTTGTGCTCTCTCATGTTCTGGTTCTGGCAAAGGAAATCCCGACATTCTTTGAATTCCTAAGAAAAATACTTCTAGGTGTAAAAGCAAAGGTACATCGCAAAAATACTCTTCATACACAGAGAGAACGGTAGACTTTTGCAATACACTTTAGACTTTTAATTAACTTAGACAATAATTTGAAAGTGTATTTCCTATTCCAATTTCTTTCCTCTTTACCATGTAACAGTCTGTAAAATTACTTAGTGTCTGTCTAACCCCGTTTCCTTTTACTTAATCAAATCATTAGGAAGTACACCTTGTGTGAATACTAATAATATATAGTTCTAAGCTGAATAAAATTGCAATAAATATACAAGACCTATTCCTTTCTTCTTCAAAATATATGACAAACCTGCTCCCTAATTAGGAAAGAGGTTGAGACTGATCAGATTTTGATACATTAATATAAATTAGCGTAGCCCCTCATTGCTACAAAGCTATTTAAAAATGGATTCAGTGACAATAAAGTATGTTTTTGTCGTGTGCAACGGAACACAAATATGCAGCTGCGCCTACCTGTTTTGCAGCTGGTTTTACATTCCACAGCTTGTAAATGCAGACATGCAATTTTGGAGAGAGCTTTTCTCTTGTTAGTAGTTAATGATGCTCCTTAAATAAATGCCTGTGCGTGGCCGAGGCTCAGGGGAGAGAGACGTGCACCGCAGGTCGGAATAAATATACAGTGGTAAAGGAGAAAGATTCATTTCTTTTTGGTAGCACGCAGTACGGTGTACATCCCCCCATTTTGCTAATGAATTCAGATGGCTGCATTACAAGGATATCGTTCATCTGAATGATGGTGGCAGATGGCCTTCATTTCCATAAGAAAGAGCAGTTGGCCCCCTTATATATAGGCTCTAAAATAAAACCAGTTGAGACTTTTTTTTTTAAATTCCTCTCTATGTATAACTCTAGACGATGGAATAAAAAAAAAAAAGCATAGTCGTCCTTAAAAAGGACGAGCTGACGCAGGGTTTTAGTAGACAAGCGTAGTATGTCGGGTCTAGCCTATTTGCCTATCCATAGACAGAAAAAACAGTTTTCCTCAGTGTCATATCATCTCAAAAGTGAAGCCGAACATGTCTGCTAGATGACGAGTGAGGGAATTGGATCGGCTATGTGTCATGAATTTAGGGAGTGAAGTTAAGACCGTGTATAAACATGTAAATGAGGAAGAAAAAAGGGAAAGTACAAGGCTAATTATGTTCCTAACTGACTGATTAAGTCTCTTTTACCAGTCGCCTTCTGTGTAAATTGCATTTCTATCTTGGGAAATTAACTAGGCTATGTGGACCGCACATGTGTTCCAGCAGTCTTTGTTTGAAACCTTCATGTTAATACTGATCTGATCCTGATTTGGCGGCATGGTAAGATGTGTGTGTCTGTGAAGCTATTGAAAATGTGTTCAAATGTGTTTATATGTGGAGTTATTTAAGGCGGTACCGGCCGGCATGCAAAACTAACTTTGAAGAAACAATTTCCGTGTAATCCGTCAGCAGCCTGGCGTCAATCTTGTCGATACTTTGCTAATTACAAAATCAATGGCCATGAATTTCCACAGCTGTCACACCCTCCGGACCAGCGAAGCCGAAGCTCCGCGGGACTTTGTTCAAACGAGCCAAAGTTGCCCTATTGCCCTCACTGAGCCTCCCGCTCAACCCCAGGTCTTTCCTCTCCCACACTTCTCCCTTACGTTTCCAATCCCTGCCTTTCCAGCCCCCCTCTTTTGCTCCCGTGGAGTGTTTGCAATCAGATGAGCAAAGCTCTGGGCTCAGCATCTTTTTTCATTTTTCAGTCAGGCAGGAGAAAAGACTCCTAACAGCCATTGATTAGTGGGGGACAGGCCCAGCCTCATGAAAAGCAAACTGTCGATACGGGCGCAGCATCTTCACATTGGAACAAACGAGGCCCGTCGCTCCCCGACGCTCATTCCACTCCACTTAACACATTTTATTGACAGCCCCTGTTTTTCTAATGAAATGCTAAATATATCTCCCTCGGCTGAGCCGCGCTGGCAGCCACTGTGATGGAGATGGAGGGAATGAGAGCGCGTCGACAGTCACAAAATGAACATGAAGCTGCACATGCACACTTGCGATAAATGGGGGAAAAAAATCTCTGACCTTTACTCTTATCAGGGAGCTGTTATCTTGAAACTTGAAACTGATGGCTTCACGAGAAATACATCAGGTCTTGACATTTTTTTTTTTTTTTGCTGAAATTCTTTGTTTAATTAAATGCCAACATTCTTAATTTGTTTTAGATCTCATCTGTGGATTCAAGACCTCTAATGTAGAGATGAACGAAGAATCTTATGAACTCAAATAGTTTCTAGAATTATATTTTATTGAATTTAATTATTTTCCAGGCTTAGATTTTGTGGCCATCATTTGTCATGGACAAATGTAAAATGAATAAAACCAATTGAACTTTTTAACATTTTTAAATGTTGTAGTCACAAATGTGAATGTATATCTGAATGCAACTAAATCAGTGTCTTAATAAGCTTATGTGGCAAAAAAATCTATTTCCAGCTTAGAGCAAAGTCTAGAGCCCCTGCCATGAAGAGGTTTGGCAAGACAAACAAAAGATTTAGCAAAATATTATGAAACAGTTTAAAATAATGATGAAAAAAAAAAAAACTCCACAAAAGCTGATTTTAAAATTAAAACAAACTTTTTAAGTCTACTTTTCTACCAGTGGCAAACAATTAGCATTGGCACCAAAAGATGAGCAGAGTGCAAGACTTTGTGCAACTTTTTTGTTTGTTTGTACTATTTTATTTTGTCTGTCTTATAAAATGCACTTATATGTTTTTTCTTTGGTTGCATTGTAGTTTTGTGTGATTTGTGTGAAAACCTAATCACCTTTCTCTACATTTAATTTGCAATAAGTCCCTTTAGGGCTAAAGAGATTGAACCTTACCAGAGTTGGCAAGCGCGATAGCTTTGAGTGTGACAAACTCCTCCTTCTCCATGCGCAGCTTCTTGTAGCGTCGCACCAGCGGCAGGATGGCGACGTGAAGATCCAGCAGGCCCGAGATCCTCGCCTGCTCCTCGTCTACCACATAGTCCTCTGCATATACAATCTCGTCCTCGCAGGGGAGCGAGCGAAACACAATGCTCAGCACCAGGATCTCCATCCAGGCGCTCTGCAGGAGACTCATTTGATCTGCCAGGGACAGTGTAGAAAAACCTATTGGAAAAAAAAAAAAAAAAAAAAGATTTGTAACACTTATGTTTTCTTTCCAGGCTTGTAAAATCAGGTTTTAGCCAAACTTGAAACCTCTGTACGTTTTATGGACTATAATCACTGTACAATCCCCAGAGGAGAACGACTTGAAACAGGCCGATTGCTATATGTGTTGGCTTAAGGGTGGAATATAAATCTGTCAAATGTAAAGGCCTTTGAAACGTGAGCCAGAACTATTCAGCCATCATCAGCCAGACCTTTAGTGCATAAGGACGGGAGAGGCGATAAGTCAGAGCAAACTCTCCTGCAAAGAACCGTAAAGCAGAGAGGACGTTATAGTTTCCAATAACGACCAAATCACTGGTCCAAAAGAGAAGGAGTTTTGTGGTTTGTGTCACCACCGCTACATACAGGGGGATCTTAATAAATTACAATATCACCAAAAAGTACATGTGTTTCAATAATTCCAGTCAAAAAGTGACAATTATAAAAGTAATTATTATTGTGTACACTGAATCAAAACCTTGAATGACGTTTCTCAGAAAGTTTAAATAACATAAAACAAGTAATAATAATAATAATAATAATAATAAAAAAGGTTATTACAAAAATGTTCAGTCAGTAGCTCAAAGTCTCCCTCGAAAAAGAGATTTTATATCAAGGGAATTATTGGTAAAATAATGGTTAAAATTTAAATGTAAAACATATCAAAATGCTAGTAAAGGAAATGTTAAAAAGAGTGTGACAATGAAACTACTCAGGGATATTAATAATTATTATAGAGGAAATGTAAATATGCTAACATGGAATAGAAAAGTTTTCCCCATTTTCCCCATTTCCCTAGGCTAACACTGTTGGTGTTAGCCTAGTTGCCATAACCGCTCAAAAGGTGAGATGCACTAAACTGCGGAAACACAAAATGCATTCAGGTGAATTTGTTGAACTTGAATTAACTGGCTTAGAAACAAATTTAGTCATTAACTTCATAATTTATACAGAGCTTATAACAATTATTAGAGACGGGTTAGTCCTCGCAGTAAACCATAATAAAACAATCCTTTGTTCACTAAGTGTTCGACCTTCTGAACTCAAAGCGGCGATTCAGGCCGACGTCGAGGTCGACCCGTCAACTCTCTCCTCCGGCTTTCACGCTCACCTCGTCGCAAGGGCAGACAGACAGACAGACGGACAGACAGCTGAAAAGGCTCCCGGAGTCACAATGCCATTCACCATACTTGATGGAAAATAGGGAAGTGATTACAGGCCATTGAAGCAACAACGCTGCTTACCTAAATCTGAACTGGTATGGATCAGAGTCCGTCAGGCTGACTAAAAAGAGGCCCTCCCAACGGCTCTTATCAAGCAAATAGAGGGACGATGGAAAGAGGCAGAATGAGGTGGAGAGAAAAGAGTGCTGGGGGTGCCATTGATTAGTAGATTGTAATCAGTCCACCAAATGCGAAAGGGCCATCGATCCAAGCCTCAGATCTGACAAACAGACAGCTGATGGAGGACATCCGGTACATGTCTTAGCGGGGGGAGGGGGAACTACAGTGTCTTGCAAAAGTACTGCTTAACTACTTTACATTGTGCCGTATTACAACCACAAACTTTGCGGTATTTCGTTATGATTTCTCGTGCTACGTATGGAATTGTGTAAAACATGAAAAGGAAGGAAAATTGTACATTAATTTCACATTTTTGTCCTAAAAGAAAAGGTTCATCTCGATCCCCGAAGCTCTAGCTTCGTGGAACTACATTTTGCTGCAGTTACAGCTGTAAGTCATCTGAGGGAGATGGATTCTTCTTTGTTAGCTTGACGCAGAACATCTCTGGATATCAAGTTTCCAAACCAGGCATTTGACTAGGCCACTCAAACGCATTATACACTATTTATCTAAAACATTCCACTGTATCTGTAGATGGGCGTCTGGTTTTTGTCCTGACCCTTCGCCTCAGCCTCAAGCCTTATCCAGCTTTTAACATTCCCCCCAGACGGATGCTGCCGCCACCGTGCTTTTTGCTGGACATGTAGTGCTTTCGAGGTGAGGTAAAGTGCTTTGCATGTAGGCCACAAAACGTTAGATTTCCACTTAACTGATCGGAGCATCCTCTTCCACGCATCTGCTGTGTCCTCTACATGGTTTCAGTGATTAGTACTCTCTTCTCCTGATTTGTTAGTTTAGGTGCTCGGCCATCTCTTAGAAGGATTGGGACTTACAAGTCTCAGTTAATGGATTTTATTCAGCAATCTCAGGGTAAAATGGAGCTGAACAAAGATCCATGTGAAAACAAAAGAGAAATTATGCTTTTCTTTTACAAGTAAAGATTTTTTTGTATAAATATGTACGTATTAATTTAGAGTTTTGAGTCGATGGTTTGCTTTGAAAAATTAATTCCACCGATTTCTAGTTTATTTAAGCAAGGTGGGATGAAATTTGACACATACAAAATGTAAAAAAAACAACAACAAAAAAAACTAAACTTTGAGAAAGTAATGCATGTGACTCTTTCAGTGTCTAGCGATTCAATTTGATTCTGATTTCCAGGGTCACATTCAGAAACAATTTTCAAGTCAAAGTCGATTTTTGATTCAGAAGCCAATTTTTTTTTTTTTTCATACTGCTTAAAGATTCTGTTTAAATTATGACTGAGAAAAGGAAAAGACAGTGTAAAGAAATTTAAAACAATTCTATAAGGTTCTGTATTAGATTGCATCAGTTTATATTAAAGCATCAAATTTTGTAACCTACATTACCAGTTTAAGAATAGCTTAGTTGCCTAGCTTGTTCATAATAAAAAAAAAAAAAAAAAAACATATAAAAGAATTATTCACCATTTAAATTTACAAAAAATTGAGCAGAGTAAAATACATTTTTGGGTATTTTGAATCGATCCAGAGTTCCCGGGACTAGGATTTTTTTCCCCTCTACTTAAAAATTGTCAACAATCTCTGCCATCACCAAAACCTTCTGAAGAGAGCCGACTCTCTTTTCAGCAATCTTTTCATTTTCTCCATCATTCCTCACCGTTCATTGTATGCAGTCAATTTACCAAAGACACGGAAAGACTTCCTGACTCCGTTTGGGTCACCCTGGAGCTTCAGGTGTGGGCAGAGTTAAGTGTTGCTGTGGTGGGTGAATCCCCTGATGAAATATCAATATTCCAAGCTACTGATTTACTGCCGTTTGACTAAACATGACACAATATTGAGCAAACAGGGAAATGTCAATGTCCCTGCATGTGTCTGCACTCTCGCTGTGTGATGGCAGAGGCAAGAAGGAAGTTGGTTTTTTTTTATGTTTGACAACGCAGCAGAGGGAGGGGAAAGGCTTGGTTTTATATGTTTTTGGGTAAATTGTTGTCATTTTTTTAAAAAAAAAAAAACAAAAAAAAAAAACTGCATTGATAAAAAGATGCTCAGTGTACACTCAGCAAAAAACAAAAACAAAAAAAAAAGAATTAGATAGTGAATCTATTAGGAAAAAGAAAAATGTAAAGGGCATGTTTACGCTGGAGTTACCAGATACTTCCTAAAAAAATATGCATTCTGCGGCTATAAATGCACCTCAAAATGAAATCTTTCTCAAATGACAGAGAGCCACAGAGAGATCGATGGTTTGGTCTGCTTCACGCTGGGATTGGGAGACCTAGACAGGCTGCACTGCAGACACTTTCTGCTGCGCAACGCTCCAGGAAAAACAACAGAGGTATCCTGGTTCAGTCAGCAAGCATTTCTCAGGATCCACAAAATCGTTTTGAGCTTACCATGCACCATAAAAGGCCCCTACAAGATTTCGTACAACCGTGCAAGGCATTTATTTTGAAATAGTCCAATACATTTTTTTCATGTCACCCAAAACATATTTGGATATGTTCTCACTGAATAGGTGTGATTCTCAAACCTATGAGTTTTGTTTTTTGCGCTTTAGGGAACAATACTGCAGGACACATTCAGAGCCGTGATCACAGACTCAATGACGTCTGAGAAAACATTTTGTTTAAACAAACTTGTACATTTGAAGAAGCGTGTTTTCCGTGTGCAACAAAAGCTGGAGCCTACAGAAAAATGCTTGGCATCAAAGCCGAGCAGCAGATTTACAGTTCAAAACGAAAAGGAAACTTCAAAAAGCCCACAGATCTCTCCCTGAGTAATCAGAGCAGAGCTGAATCAGCTCTTATCCCTCTCTTTGTGGGAAATGTTTTAGTCGAGCAAAAAAATAGTTTCAGGACTTCTAGGCTATTTTTAAGTCAGAATTTCAGACTCTCTTCGACTCTAATTTATATACTTGTCCTTTAATTCAGTTCTCAAGTATTAACATTCAATTTTACGGTTAAGTTATGGTGTTTAACTTCAAAGTGGTTGGCTTTAATTTTGGAACCAGGAAAAATCTGAAACTGAAAAGACGGATCGATAGGTCACTGATTACAACTATTAAAAAAAAGCAAAAAACAATCGCTACTTGTTAATAGACTATATACGTTGACTGGCTATTTTCACAGTTTTATGGCTTATCAATTTGCAAATTGCATACTTTTGATTAACAGTCAACTCAAATGGTGACAGCAGGCATTTGGCCTCAAACCTGAAGTTTTGTTCGGCATATTCACTCCAACATAAATCTCCATAAAACCACAGCATTGTGAAATCTGCCGGCTGCAAAGTGCCACGTATACTTTCTAAAGTACGACAAGAATCCTGAACGTGCCAGAAGCAAGTGTTTGTAGAAAAGAAAAGGGCTCTGACGAGGTGGCAGCACAGTCCAAGTACAGATCAGATAAGAAATTGAAACCCTATTCAGCACGGTGAAGAGAGTGAGTGGTTGGCAGCGAAGCTTGAAGCTGTCATTGAGAGCTGGGTCTAAAACAGACAGCAGTTCACTCTCTATTCATTTAGCATCATTACAGGCCTCCTAAGAGCCCTAATGGGCCTAATAAAAAGACAGAGGTAATAATGAGACTAGAGGGCTCTATATGAGCGAAGAAGAGCGGGAGGAGGGGGAAGAGTCAGGGGAACTGGAGAACAAGGAAGTCTGGCTGCGTGTGTGTGTGTGTGTGTGTAGGTGTGTGTGTGCATGTGTGTGTGTGTGTGTGTGTGTGTGTGTGTGAGGGCTGACATAGGGGGGAAAGTGTTTGGAGGAAGACCAAGCAGAGAAAAAAAACAAGAGGACTAGGAAAGTGATGGTTTGCATTGAGTGAGGTCTTATAGCATCAGGCTTTAGCATACATTTAGAATTGTTTTGCACATGTACACAGCAATGTCTGGCAAATCAGCAGTCCCCTCCAGATTCCAGGTCGTAACATCTCTATTATCATTAATCTGGGGGCATGTCTAGAGGCGACCGAGCAACAACAGTGAGCCGCTGTGTTAAAAAAATCAAAACCTTCTCACATAAAATCATTTTAATATAATCTGTAAACTAAGTTGTTAGCTGCAAAATATGCATAAAAAAAATAAAAATCAGAGTTGCATGTTTCTCCCTCAGTTCTCTGTATCTGAATGTTGAAGGACTTCCACATTAATGGAGCAATCTGCACTAATGACTCTTATTACCTCATCGTTAGGGCCATTTGCTCAGTGAGCTATGAGTGTAATGGTAGACGTGGACTGTTAAACTGTAGGGACCCCTTTTTGTCTTAATTATTACTTGGTGACATTCTGACCTGGTGGCCCTGGGTAAAGTGTCCCCAGAGGGCCACGTGCCCCTTTAATATCGCTGTCAGTTCTGGATTTAGATGGTCGCAGCATAAAAGATCAATAACTCTACACAGGTAATGTAACACAGAGCATCTCTCAAAAGCTTTATGCCAAACCCATGAATAAACCTGGAAATGTATTTTTAGATTTGGTGGTGGTGGTGGTCATTATTCGCAGAAAACAGCAAATTGGTTAAGAGAAGGGGGGGAGAATATGTATCGAAGGTCCCAAGTGGCACCCAAGTATCCTCCATAGGCTCTGGTGCTGCTCCACGTGCCACCAATACATCTGAAATTTTAAACTAATACCAGCAATGTCAGCGATACATTGTTGTTGGTCTGTTAAGTGAGGTCGTAAGGGAAAGTTTTCTTCAGGGTTGCTTCATAATTCTCTTTCTTTGTCTTTCCTACTTTCCTATGCTTGTGCAACATCTGCATGGGAAACAATATTTTGAAGGTGCCATTGTTCTTTTCTGGCAATCTGTAAATGCAAAACAGAGGTGCAAATGCAGCATGAGTGTGTGTTTATGCCAAAGCAGCGAGGGTTACGAAATGAGCCATGTGGCAAAACTATGAGTGACAACTAGGTACAACCCAAAGTTCCCGGGAAAACAAACACTGAACTGCAGAATTATTTATATCAATTGAACTTTTCTCACATTTTGTCATGATACAACCAACAAAATGTATTTATGGTTTACAAATAAACGCCTGAAAAGTGTGGCATGCTTTTATATTTAGTCTGGAAGTGAACATGAGTACAACCGCTTTCCTTCACTCAACTAATGAATATCACAACCACAACAGTTGTTGTGATAGTGAATTATAGTATTAACGAGTGGAGCATGAACGCACTTTTATTTTGAAAACCCAAATCGCCCGGTTGCTTGTGTCAGCATCAGTCAAAATGAAGAATGCAGTATGTGACGGAAAGTGGATTCTGTTGTGGTCTAATTGTATGTTTTAAATTTACTTTGCTTCCTTGCAGAAATTAGATTCAATATTCCAAAAAGTAAACTGAATTAAAATTTAGGCAAGTAAAGACTGATGTTGCATTTTATTTTTGCTGTTTTGGCAAATTTTAGGTCTTACTTGATTATTTTCTTATTTTAAAAACCCAATACAAAGAGTAACTTTTTTTTTATAACAGAACAGGTTTTTTATATTATTTTTTTTGGATTTGCCATGAAAACTTTTTAAACAATGCTCCAAATAAACTCACAATCAGAAGTTTATAGTCATTTTAGTCCAAGTCATTTCCGTCAGGTGAGCATCGGCCAACAATGTAAAATGTTGTTTGAAATGCGGTGAAGACTTTGCACCCAGGCACCGGTATCACATAATTACTCAGTGGCAGCAGTGAAAGCTTGTGTCACCACTTAGCTAAAAAATTATGTTCTTGCTTAAAGTGTCCAACATAAATCTAATGACAAAACGACAATTAGGGGAAACCCTGAACAGAAGGAGCATCTGGTCAACATTTTATTTATTACATCACCCACAAGAGGTATGTCTCTATCACCTTTACACAAATAAAGAGTTTTGCCTTTTTTATGTGAAAGGGGCAGTGTTATGTAATTTTTTTTTATTTTTAGCTTAGTTATCATGCTATAATTTTCTTCCCTCATGAAAAATATACCTGGAGTGTTGCCTTGATTCTTTCCTGTCTACTGCCATCACCATCTACAATAACTCTTCAATTAAATGAGTTACAGCAACATTTAATTTGCCTGTGGGATCAATAAAGTATTTTTGAATTCGAATAGTTCTGAAAAGCATTGCAACATTCAGACAGAAACATTGGGGAAGTGTCTTGGCATTTTGCAACAAGATCAGTTATGCGTACAAAATGTATTTTCATTGGGATTTCAGTTTCATCTTTTGTGGTTCCAAGTTATCACATTAGATAGTTTTGTTTATTAGGAGTCAATTTCTTGGGGTTTTAATGTACACATTTTGTGATGTAAGCCTGTAATCATATCATAATAATTGTTTAGTAACGGAGATCGAGGCACATATTTTCAATTTAAACAAAAAACATGAAAGTATCACTTGCTTTTATAAAATGATGAGTACATTAAAAGCAAAGCTGAATTACTCATTTCTAACCTGCTCTTAAAAAACTCTTCTTCAAATTGTCGGTTTTAAATGAAAAAAAAAAGGGGGGAAAACAGAAAACCCCAAATTTGCATAACATGTCTTATTTAAGAATTAGTCAGCAAGCAGAAAGAGGGCCTCCAAATAAATCAATTCCTCCACAGGCTCTGTGTGGTGTCCTTAAGTAAGTAAGAGGATTGCTTTCTTTAAGTGTGGGATTGAAATGGAATACATTGACATGGGGCGGATCCCGGCCCCCAGACTTCCCCACCACACCCAGTCAAATCAAAGGTTTCAGCTGCTTTTTATTGATTAGATTTTAGAATATGGGACTGGCTTCTCCCTGAGGTGCAGATGAGTAGCAGATGTTAATTATCCTGTGTCTGTGAGTGGGTAGGTGGTGGGGGGGTAAACTACCTTAGTGATCTCACACCCAAAGGTTGCAACAGAAACCTACACTACTCCTCTTCTTTCATCCTCTAGATTTGAATATAGATTTTTTTCAATTGGTTTGCAGCAAATCTATGCCACGTCTTGTGGTACACTCTATTTGAAATCGGGAAGAGTACGATCCAAACAACATCCCTTCTCACCTGGGATATGTTTGGCCCAGCCGATTATGACCACAAGCTCGCGGTCAGCCAGGTCGCACAGGGTGGTCAAGGCCTTGATGTCGCCGTCAGGCATAGTCGGGTCCGGCATGGCATAGATCTTCTCCGGCTCCACCACCAAGAGATGTGAAACAATCTTTGTCACTGAGAGAAAAAAAAAAAAAACAGGGACGTGTTCATTTGAACTCATTCGGGCTGGATTATAAATCGAAACAAGAATTAGATTGGTGGTTGAAGACTTACTTCACAATCTTAATACTTACAGGGCTTTTTGGCTGGGGGAGGGAGGGTGAGGCCGAGGTAGGATCCATTCTCAGCATCCAACCTCCGTTTATACTTCTGTCTCCCGCCTCTCACCCGGTCCAGGCGTACGCCTGCATAACAGAAAGTAAAAATCCCATTTCAGTAAGCCGAAGTCAAGCAAAACAAGGTAAAAATTTTGAGTTTTACACCTGTTGGTATGATAAAGTGCTACATTTTACTGATTTATGCCTGCTCCAGTTTAGCTTGATTCAATATTTTCAAACTATGAACTATAAATAGAATAGAATAGACTTTATTGATCCGTAGACGGGGGGAAATCAGGCGTAACAATAGCATCAGAAATATAGGATCACACGAAAATGTCCAGAAGTGTTAAAAACATCAAATGATAACACTTTGTTCCAAGCCCAGAAATGATCTTTAAATTTCTGCCATTACGTTCCTTTGGTTTAAAGTTTTCAAAATGGGAGAACGTGTCGAGTGACTCAAGTTTCCTTATAGCACAAAGAGATAACCAGCACCAGATTGTTTGAAAAGCCAGTTCTTTTGACGTCTGAAGAAGACTTGTCCTTTGGAGGTTTCAGCATACACTTGTGACACGTCAAGGATTATCTCCAAAGCCGTCACAAAGGACAAAAGGCTCAATGCACCTTACGTGCTGAATTTACAATCTCGCATTAAAACTTGTTTGAGCACTGAGGGAGAGCAAACAGATTTTACATGGTCAAGCAGAATTGAGTCGTGTGAGATTTCCCAGCGTCGCACATAAATTCCTTTGATTCCCCTGGAAACAAAAGAATCCGATTAGGATGGTCTTTCAATTTCCTGACACCGACTATCCACTAACCTAATTACCCGGTGTGCCCGAAGGGAGCTCATTCTTCCCAGCAAACACAGTGAGATCATTTTATGCCTGGCAGATTGAAGCTAAATCGAGAGCCCCTCTCCTAACACAGCTTTCCATTTGTACGCCTTAAAGTAATCAATAAGGCTTGCAAATAGACTTCTTGTTCTTTGAACACATGTGGATGTGGTTTTAATTAGTCAGTTAGGCAGCCAGGAGCAGGGTTTGCAGTAGTTGGAGCCTTAGCTGCTGTTTTTAACATTTGCTTTGAGTTAGGGATGATTAACGACGCACAATGTTTAACATTATTTCCACAGTTCATCCCTTTTTGGGGATAGATAGAGAATATAGATATTTCAAATCAGATTCCTTATTAACTCCACATATTTGCATGTGTAAGAAATGTTTATCTCTTCCATCCATCCATGAACTGTCAATACCAGCTTCTCCATCTGGGGGTCATGGAGGGGCTGGTACCTATTTTATTTGGGCAGGTTATATGCACATCAGGTCGTAGTGAGTCATATAAAGGCATACAGACATCTTCTTCAAAGACGACATAAATGTAAAACCTCAATAATTTTATACAAATACACTTTTTTTTCTTTCTAGCTGTGCTCCTGTACAATTTTTACTAGCCTGATTTTCTGGGGGCTCCAATGATGTACACGTCCCTTTTAACTAAATAAACCTCAACTTTTACAGACTGTGTAAGATCAGTGTGATATTTAACAGGTATAAGCTATAAATGTATGACACAGAGGTAGGCTGCTGCTTAGTTTGAGTTGCGTTTAAATACACACACACACACACACACACACACACACACACACACACACACACACACACACTGGTTTCCCCACTGCGAGCTGCAACAAACGACAAGTGACCAAGCAGCCAGGGTTTGAATTCCAGGATCCACAGGGTCTGTTTGAACTGGAGTGTTCAACTGGCCCATAATTAATAGATGCTGACAAGAATTAAGAGCTTAGTGCCATCAATGTTCCAGTTTACAGCTCTGCTGAAAACTGCAGAGACGTGAGGCTGCAGGACACAGAGAAAGAAATGCAAAATAAAAAAAATAATAAAAAGGTATGGACAATGCAGAAGAGTGTGTGTGGGGAGAGAATGAAACAGAGCAGGTTCCTGTTTTTAGCTGAACGTATCAACTTTTTGCAAGATCTTTATTGTTTTTCACTCTCACTCCTTCCCCCCTCGTCTGGCTCTACCTCTCAGCATCAGGTGTACATCTCCACCCTGATAAGGCTGCCGATGTCTGAACCGCCCTGTATTGGGTTATCCCCTCCTACGATGTGATAAGGAGCAGTACTGGGAATCTAACTACAAGACAGCCGAGAGCAGAAGGCATGAGGGGGATCATTGTCAGCACCCCATTCTACACTTCACAACCTACTTCAATACCAGCTTTATTGCTGCAGGACAATAAGTGTCCAGATTTTTTAAAATAATATAAAACGTGTGTGTGTGTGTGTAGCCTCGGAACGATTAGTCCGTGAAACAGCAACAACGGTGGACAGTATGTCCTGATTGTGATTGTTTTTACATGTGTGCAGAAAGATGATGAGGTGTTTTTATATCTCAGCAGTCATTACAGTTACCTGACCCCAGCTTCCCTTTCCCATTCACGATCTTTATTGACTCACAGAAGCTACAAGTAAGTCACAAAGTCAGGACCTTCTTTCTGCAAGGCAACAGTGCTACCAACCATCCCACCATGCAGCCAAATTAGATAATGTTTTTATAATAATTACAATGACAAGAGAAAGTTGTTCTATTTTTCCCCAAGGTTATTAAACTGTAAAGCCTCATGCCTGCACTGGTCATCTGCGCAACTACTTCTAAAATTTATTCAGAAAAATTCTCCAATTTTATATTAAAACTGAAAACCAATATATTTAAACCAGCGTCGACATTAATTTTGTTTTTATGCAAACAGGACTCTGCGGAGAGCAGATCCCGTCACACACATGTGCATGTGGCCCATTTAGCGAAGAGTGTGCGCGTCCACGCTGCCAAACCAACATGCGTGCATATGTGTGTGAATGAGTGTGTGGGTCTCACGCGACTATTTTCAGCTCCTCACCTGTCAGCAGCGCTTCTTTCTGGAGAATGTGTCAGAACTGGCTGACTGGCTAGCGCTGCCAAAGGGAGATTAGGAGCTCCCTATTTTAGCTGGGGAAAAAATCAGACGGATGCACCGCAACACCCCCGCCCTCTCCTCCTCCTGAACACACACTCGCCCCCAGCTAAGCACACAGGCCTTGCCCTTTCAGCACAACTGCTGAAGGGCGGGTGTGCTAGCCTGGGAAGAGTTACAGTACGAGCATTGGATGGATTGTGTTTGATTGCTGGGTGGGCTGAAGAACTGCGGTGGAATTTAAGGGGATGGTTGGTGCCCCCACCTGCTCCAGTCCCTTACAGGCCAGAGTTGTTCTCCCACAACTGTGAACACTGGCATCATGTTCAATACTTCCACCAGAACCACAAATCCGCCTGTAATCGACAACATGTGAGAAGCTGGGTTGATTCGGGACCCTCGGTGTGCTGAGTTCGAGGTGACGACACGGACTGTTGTGTGGGCAGCAGAGGAGCAGAAAGCAAGGCGGGGTGCTGGCAGGAAGCGTGTAACTCAGGGTCTGGTTCCGTGTCGCCTGTCAGGGGTGATATACATTTGACATGTGTGTAAATGAATGCATGTTTGGAGTGTGAGAGGGTTGTAAAGAGGTCAGCGCTTCACCAAATCCCACACCCCCTTTCTCTTCAGAAGAACACGTGTTAGCATCCGTGTCTGATCTATCACCTGCCAGACAGTGAGGACAGGCCAGCGGAGAGTCTCTGGGTGGCCGCTGACTCTCAGCTGGGTTATACCAGAGACCCTGACAGCCTAAAAGCAAAAACGGGGCTCAGAACGTGTGAAAATCGGACTAGCAGAGGGTCAAAGGGTTGTTCGGTCCCTAAACCTTGAATAACGAAAGGAAATACTAAGCCTGTAAAGACAGACTTTGGGTATATCTTTATTTTGATGATGTAACCTTAGTGTATAGATTGGTTTCCGATCTAAGCCCATTGATTGGGAAGGGACCTGACAGTCTGTGATATTGGATATGGCTTCACTAATCTTTTGTGTATGTGGCTGGAGGAAAATAAGGCTGTAACATTACTCCGGTAGCCACGTTCGGTCAGGAAAAGATGGCTGATCCCTATCTGTGGTCGGAGCGAGAGCGAGACAGCGGTGTGGGTTGCCAAAATAGTCTGGCAGCTTGTGTTCATCCACCGCATTACAGCAGTGTCAGAAAATCTCTACAAAAACACCCAACTATGACTAAAACATCCGGCTCTAATTTCAAAAGAGCAGCGGCTTAAGTGTCCTTTATTCACACTGTTAAAGACTTTCATTCACACCAGAAATTCAGCAGGGCTGCAGCCTTGTTTTCTTCTGTTTCAACATGTTAATGCGTCAACATTATCGGATGACGGCTAAAGACACAACTAGACGTTGCCACAGCATGAAAAAAAAAATAAAAATACAAAAAATAATTTCTACAATCTGCAGAAATAACAATAGAAGTAAAATCACACAAATTCAAAACAGCAATAGCAAGCTATGACTTTACCTTTACGCTACACAGTAACACTAAAGAGTATTAGCGCTTCTATTAGCAGCGTGCGGCGACTCCTGGCGCTGGGTACTGACACCATACCTTCTGGAAGCTGTAATTACTTTAAGGTTTTTCCATTGAACTTGTGACCTTTTTATCAGCTGCAGCTCCTAAAGAGGCACCTGCAGCTACCGCTCAGCCAGCAGGGATTTTATAACACAGACCAATACAAAGTCTCTAATTAGAAGTTTAAGGAAAATAATGCATGGTGAAAACTGTGGCATGTTTAACATATTCAGCTTATTTGGTAACTCTGGAGGAGCTGCTGCTAGCCACAGCTCATGAACAACAGTACAACTCTACAAATCCAGCCTTCATAGAAGATGCAGATGAAAGAAAGAAACAAAATATTCTACCAAAGTTTACCAAAACAAATGAAGCAAACTTATGAAAGAAGAGACAAAAATTTCACTTTTTGTTCTACATTCCAAAAATATGTTGAAAAACTAATATTGCACATTCCTCTGATCACACAGTCCTCACGTAATTGTGTGGCAGTATAATCGTATGGGAAGGCTTTCTGTTTCAGAGACAGGGAAGCTTTTCGGAGTTTATTACTGGAGCAAAATACCTGTTGAAACTGAGGAGGAAGCAGGACTGGAACGCTAAACATGCAGCCAGAGCTTTAATGTTATTCTAAAACATATTCATGTATTAGAATGGCTCAATTTAAAATCTTGGCCTAAATCCAATGAGAAATCTGAGGCAGCAGATTTTCGCAGATGCTGTCTGTCAAACCTAGCTGAGCTTGGGCTATTTTTACAAAAACAAATGAGCAAAAGTTTTAGTTTTTAGCTGTGAATGACTGTGACATGTGAACAAACGGACAAAAGAACGAACAAACGAATGAATATACATCATTAATCCCCAAGGGATTAAAAAAATTCCAGGGGGTTCTACCAAATATTAACTTAGTTGGTTAAATAAAAATGCATGTCACACTTTTCAGATTTTTATTTGTAAGAAATATTTGAAACAGTCTATAATTTTCTTTTCACTTCCAAATAGAACAAATAGTTCAGATACTTTTGCAAGACACTCTATGTCCTTTTATCCTGGACTGATTTATGACTGACCAATATTTACCAATCCTGTACACAGGTTTTCACAGTGGTCCTGAACTAACACTGAACACCAAACTCATCTGAAACCAGCAAACAGTGTTAAGACTTAGTCCACTGGTTTGTGGCAGGTGTCAAAATGAAGAGGGCTTTTTTTTTTTTTCCTTTCTTCAACCTGCTACTAATGCTGAAGCGCCCAAGCAGCTGGTGCTTTATGATGAAGGTTGGCAGAGGGCACATTATCAAGAAATATCGGACCCTTTTAAAACAACTGACCGCACTGCGCCCCAATGTTTGGCGCTACTGCGCTCTAGCTACTAAAGAGACAACCGAGACGTGGCAATTAGTTGAAGTTTGCAAGAAATCATAATTTCGTCATAATTCTTATTTTTTCACTGTTGCTTGTTCTTAGCAGTGTGTTTGAATATTGCTTACATTCATACATATTGATATATGTTTACACACATTTATCTTAGCAGTACCAAAAAGACATAGGGCATGGCCAATAACTGAAACCCTAAATGTGTTTTTCAACTCCTCACATATTAACTTATGAAAACCAAACTTCTCTTTCTCAAAGACTATCTGAGTCCAACATCCAAAAGCTCTCTCAAGTCTACAAAGAGTCAAAGCCACGGTAAAATTAAAGTCAATTTGTCATTTAATTAAACACATAAAAATCTGAAAAGTGTGGCATCTACCAGCTCTACAAGTCCAGTACAATCGCCTCCTTCGTGAGTCGCCGAGTGAATAGAGCATGCCTGTGTTTAAAATAATCTCATAATAAAAGCAGCTGCTCTGAAGACATCATGAAGACCAGCATTCATCTGAAAAGCTGCCAGGAGCTCCATGCTAACTCTGGAAGAGAAGCAAAGTTCATCAACCCAGGTGGGAGTGTCTGTTGACAGAACTCTAATGCTTGTTCACTCTACAAATCTAGGAGAGGGTTGATGCTTACCATCCAGCACAACAATGATCCTGAAAATACAAAGCTACAATGAAATGGTTAAGAATATAACGTCTACAAATTTGCTGTTAAACAAAATCACTCTAACTCAGATATAATGAGCTGAGCAAATGTGTGCAAATGTGCAAGGTTGTAGGTATAATTGCACAAAATATTGACCTATCAGGGTTAACTGCTACTTTATTTTAGTCGCTTCAATAAACTCCCTTTAAAATACACTGAAGTTTGTGAAAACCTGTTACTTGTTATGAACACTTTCTGCAAAATGCCGCTCTCAGAGCCGCACTGTGGCGCCCGGGGTTTTTTCTCAGACTTTAATATGGTATGTTCAAGTATAAAAAATATGGCCTGATGATGAAAACCTCAGAGATAAAACTCAGGTAAAAATGCAGTTTAAAGCTGCAGCACAATGAATGTTACAGATGCAGCAGCAGCAAGACGCCTTCATGGAAATGAATCAAGAGTCAGACATGAGTACAGTCTTGCATTATAATGGCAGCTACTGGCCTCAAACATGAGACATGCCTTGTGTGCCCAGAACATAGCAAAACAGAGAGAGTGAGGGTATAATTTTAGGAAATATATAGCTGTTAGTGAGGCTTTAAATCCAATTCTTAAAACGCAGTTTTTTGATTTTTATGAATCGTGTATCATTCAATTAATTGTGATAATAATTAAACTGAATTGAAAAGTTAGGCATTTTTTCAACATTGTTGTATAAATATGTTTACTTGTATTATATTAAAAAATATGTATTAGTTTATATTATTCTGTAAAAAGAGAGCACAAACAATATTATGCATTCTTACTTCACATATGAAAATATCCTATTTTCATGCTGGAATTTTAACACATGACAGTTCATTCGGAAATGTAAAAGGAAGCCAATGCTAAACCTTTTATATTTAAATTTCGCCATATAAAAACATATATTTTTTTAGCGTTAATGCATAAATACTTATGTAGCTGAGTTTTTTTCAGGTTAACACAGAAATAAATAAAAAAAAAAAAAAGGAAAGAAAGAAAAGAAAATCTATCGGCTAGATTTTCCTCCAGTACTCCCAGAGGTCTCTCACCGGAGGAAAAACAACACGTGCAGGAAGTGAGGCGGCATGTTCGGAAAGCATTTAGCGGATCAATACGGCAGAAGCAGGAGAGGGGAAGCAAGGCAGACTCAGACGGAGCAGGAGAGGGAGAGACACCCAGAGCCCAGGGGAGAGGAGAAGTCCCCGGGGGAACGCTCTGTGCGCTTTTCAAGAGTACTGTTACACATTTCACTCAGGCTCGGTAAGAACATCCAACTCAGCAGCATTTCCAAACTGTCTGTGTTAAGCACACAGAGGCTCATCGGTGCGGGGAGAGCTAAGTAAGTAAGTGGTGGGGGATCTCCACACTGTCTTCTAAAGGCCAAAACATCTGTGCATAAAAGAGTCGTCTTCCATCTGGTCTGGTTGGTCCGTACGCCTAAGCTAAATTTACTTATGATCTTAAGAAGAATGAAATAATACACGTTCAGTTCTTCTGATGAAACTTTAAATAGAGACAAAAAAGTTTTAGTTTTTGCTTGATTTTCCAAAGTGCCTAGAAAAATCATTCAAAACTTTTTTTCAGTATCGGTCGCTATTTGTCAAGCAAGTACTCCAACGTGTATTATTTCATATTATTTATCGAGAAATGAAATAAGTACGCCATCTTGCAGAATTACTTTGTAGAAACAGCTTGACAGAATTTTCTTTCTAATTATTTTCTGCAAAATAGCTCATGACGATTAAACTGGACGGAGAGTAAACATGAGCACGTCACAGATTATTGATGAATTTTTGATCTGGCCTTTGACTTGGCCATTTTAACTCATGACAATATGCAGCAATCAAAGTGACCCAATTGCAGTCCTGCTGGAAGTTCCCTAGTCTTTCCCAACCTCTCAGAGGTTTTCTTCCAGGATTGCTCTGCATTTACCTCTGTCCGTCTCCACATGTGTTGCCCTCTTTGGTCTTTGTTTGTTCACTATTGTTCTCTAACTAACCTCTGAGGCCTTCATTGAACAGCTGAGAGTAAATTTCATACAAATTGGATTAAGAATTAGAGTGCTTTAATGGTAATTGTTTGTACTCAAATTAATTTAGAATCATTTGAGTAAGGGGGACTGACAACTTTTACAATTCATACTTTTCATGTTTTCATTTGTAAAAAAATAAAATAAAAAATCCACTTCTCAATTTATCCACTTTCTTGTGGATAATTACTAGAATTTTTTCACCTAAAATGCTAGTAAAATAAATCAATTGTTATTATAAGACAAGTTTTGAAATATGGAGCGATTATGATGCCTTTTGCAAAGCACTACATTGAAAAGGAAACCAGAAGCAAAAAAGTAAATAAGATTATCATGATGTTGCTGAAAGGAATGTTTGCACCAGATGTTGAAATTGTCTTCCTGATAACTGTTGTCTACAGAGCATTCAGTGATTAAATTAGGCAAACAAAATCGCACCAGTGAAGAGAATATGGTTGAAAAGTGAGTAATCAGACTCACCTTCCTTCAACATGCCAACTTTAAGACATTTCATGAAACGGCAGGCCTGGCAGGACTTTCGTCTCCTCTTGGTAATCTCACACTCATTGGTTGCCGGACAGCTGTACTCGATGTTTCCTGTTGAAGAAAAGGTAGATCAGTTCCCACAAACCTTAGAAATAATAATAATAATAATAATAATAATAATAATAATAATAAAACATACTTTAAGACAACATATAGAATATATGAATGAAAACAACAAACCCAAACTGACCCCATGTGGCATCTTTGTAGATGAAGAGGGTTTTAGAGGCATTTGCTTACAAACCAGTTCGGCTTCAGCATGATTCAAAAACACAATTAGCTTCTATAATGCAGGAGTTCTTTTCTAAAATATTTTCCCCCTTATATAGAGAATGAATGGACCAAGCAGCTGGACTAGCTAAGGATCCTGTATCATATAACAAGGCTAAATCTATTATTCAAGTCTGTCTTGATGGGTCTTGGCTCACTATGAATATATCTTCTGTGCAATTTAATCAGTCTGATCCAAAACAGTCATTACTGAATTTGCTGCAGTCAATTTTTCTTTTTCTTTTTTTTTCTGAATTAATATGTACATAAAAGCTGATATAACTCCCTAGAATCCTACGACTCCAGAGTCCATGACTGGAAGCCCAGAGATGTATCAATGCTACCTAAATACAGCAAACCAGGTGTGGGTTGCAAATCTGCCAGAACCACATACAACCAGCACTACAGCCCCCCGCTCTAAAAAACTCACACAACCCCCCGTCGGTCAAGGAGAAGGTGCCAACATTTGTCAGAATCCTTGGCATAGATGGTGCCGGCGGGGTCACGAGCACAGCGCGGGGTCCAGGGAGCCACGCCAGGATGTTGGCAGGGACTGCTGCTGGATTTAGGCTAGGTGAAGTCTAATAAACCAAGAGGCTTTAGCAAAATGGGGAAAATCCTCTTCACTCCAGCACTCATGTGAACAAACACATGCTGCTCAGTGTCTATATAGTGGCATCTATTCTCTGCATCTGTTCGGAAACTGATTCGGAAACATATTTCTAGAGTTGCTTTTATCAGATGCGAAAGTTGAAGGCGGATTTTTCCAGCATTGCATACTAGTCATGAACCACAAAACAGCAGGATTCAGATCAGTCAACCAACAATGTAAACTGCCTAGGTAATGTAATTTCCCAGGATAGTGTGAGACACCATCAAAACAACTTAAATATGCCACGGAAGACCCAGAATAAACGGTCAGTCTATCACAAACATACAATTAACATTAAAACCACTTTAAAAACATCCCAGACACACTTATCTATAGAAGTAACATAGTTTGAAGGTTTTGCAGTGGAAGTGTAAAGATGCCGGTGCCATCATAAGATAACAGCAGGGACACAATCTTTTCAGGACAGAAACCAGGAGCTGCACAAGCCTACTGACGATCACAATTAATTCTAGATTAATGCAAGGTAATAAGGGATTGACAAGTTCTAATAAAGTTTTGTTAAAATTCCTTTAAAACCTGATAATCATCACTCACTTCACTATGCCATCACTGAAAATGTGATCTTTGACAACCGATTCTTCTGATCTATGTATGCATTTCACCAGATAATGAATATTTGTATTTAGAACAAGTTAACGGTCGTAAAAGTATAGTAAAAGCAGACTCCAAGCAAGAGCTTTTTAATACATGTTTTCCCTATTCTGTTTGGCAAAGTGTTTTACAAGGAAATTTATTTAATCACAAATGGAACAAAAAAAGTTTTCAGCACAAATAATCCCAGACTTTTGTTTAAAAATTACTGTTAATCATTGAGAGAGCTAAAAAAGCACTTTTTTCCAAAATTACTTAGACTGCTTTCTGCTGCAGGTAAGATACTGGATAGTAATAGATGCCCCACAGAACCCCATTTTAAAAAAAAAAATCTGACATCTGATATTTAAATTTTGCGTGTAAACTAATTTTTTTTTACGACAAAGACATTTTGTCATATGTTAATGTGTTTTTTTTAAACATTAAATTAAAATATAGTCTTGTTTTTATTATCATTATCATTTAAAACACATAATTCCTGAAAATGAGAGCATCTCAATAAGCGAGTTTTACTTCAATGAATTAAGCTAAGATAAGGCAAAAAGAGAAAACACTCTGTTATTTTTTTCCTCATGTAGTATTAAAATAACCTTGTTTGCGCATGTCTGTGTGTGTGCGTGTGTTTGTGTGTGGTGAAGGTGGGTTGTTGGACTTAAATTGCCTATGTCTAAAAGCTCACTGTCGGCATACCCTCTTAGTTAATCAGGTCTTGTGTCCACCTTTATTTCTCAAAGGACATTTCAACCACTCTAATATCCTTCCTTAACCTCTCTTATTTTCCCCCTAAATGTTGATATATTATTATGCCATGCTATTATCTACGCGCCAATCTCCACTCAAGCTGGACCTCTCCTTGTTCTCCTCCTTTACTGGGGCCGGGACCCCCCTCCCTGATTACCATTCCATTAAAGTGGCTTCTCCTTTCTGTGAATGACCACGTCCCCACCGTCCCTTGTCCCTTTGCGTTTATTTAGAGGACTCCTCGATGCAGACCCTCCACTGTCTCCCATCTCTGTTATTGCCACTGCAACACGTGCTTGAGCTTCTAATTGACCCCCGTCTCCTTTTCCCCTTGCTTATGGGCTACGGGGGAGGGAGGTCCGAGGACAAAGAAGAGACGTGCACCTCTATTCTCCTTTCTTGACTTTTCTTCCAATGAAATGCCTGGCTCTTAATTACAGTCACCCAACACTGATTGTTATTGACTGAAACTCCCGTGGCTCAGGACGAATGACGGACAGATTAAGCTCGGTACTAGGCTGTCCTCCGCGAAGGAGAGCAAGCGGAAGGAAAAAGGAGAAAAAGGACAGTAGAAAGACGGTCTTTACTATACTGACTTGTTCCACCTAAATCATGTTCATAATGATTCTTTTTACAGTACACTTAAAATGATTGCAACTGAACGTTGAATTAAACAGTTCAACTTAGTCTAGACATCTGCAATTTCTCGAGTTTCGGTGCATACACAAATTAGTCTCGTAACTTAAACTAAGGTTTAAGAAACATGTGCACAGTTGAAAATGCATGTATTTTGACCTGAATGTTGAATTTTCTCTTCATAAGAAGACTCCTAAACTTTGTTCAAGTTTTAAAATAATTTCAGTTTATTCCTGAGTTAACACACTGCTGTTTATATATATTTGTTTTCTTTTAATTCTGAAAGCACTGAATCTCTTTCATGATTTTGACCATTTCTCATTTTCTGCAAATACAAAATTTTTGCTTGGAATTTCAGACATGTTGTCAGTAGTTCAAAGAATAAAAGAGCAAGGTTCATTTTACTCAAACATATACCTGCAAAACGTAAAATCAGACAAAATGAGAAACAGGATTCTTCCTGTTAAAGGGAAGTTTTCCTTTCCACCTTCCCAACACGCAACAGGATTTATGCTGCAACAAACTGTCTACTGTCGCTTTTTCCCCAACTTCACTTATAAAACTAATGCAAGACGATTTTTTTTATAACACCTTTAATTTGAAATGAGGACATTTCATTTAAAGAGGGGGAAGTATGTAATTTGATTTATTTTTCCTTTTCAATTAATTAGGTTACATACAGCTATTTATTTAAGTTGATCTATAACTAGAAATTGTGCTGTGCCTTTAAGAGGAGCTGTTTCCTTCTTCTTCGTTGTTTTTTTTTTTTTTTTTTTTTTTTTGGGGGGCCCCGGGCGGTTTCTTTTGGGGTAAAATAGAGGGTGAATAAATG